GCCGCAAGAAATTAAAAAGAAAAATGTCCAAGTCCACCTTCAGTCGGGCGTTATTTATTCTATCCTTCTCCCACCCCCCTCCAATTCGTTTGCTCGGTTTCATTCTCTCCTTCGTTCACGTCGCCCCTACCACTCCCATTTAGCGTGTTTATAGAAAGTTTCTACTACTTGTTATACAATCTTATTCCCCGTAATTGTTCTCGGCCGCCGCGCCATCAGGATAATAACGGATCTCCCGCGTGGATCCTTGATCGTTCCTCGTGTGTCGACGAGCGTCCACCATTTTTTTTGTCTCGCCTCACCTGTCGTTTCGTTCTGGTTTAATTACCTTGGCTAGATGAGGTATGTATATGATGGCGGCCGCCGCGCGATGATGGCTCTGAAGAGGCGACACTTTGGGGATGGAACGGTTTTCTCTTTTTTAGGTTATGTCGTCCCGTTTAGTCTAGTGAAATTTCGCGGAGTATTTCAAGAATTCTGATGCTCTGCGTGAGATATTCTCGAGATTGGAACTGTATTCTCAGTGGAAAAAGTATGGTGACTTCTTTGTAGGGTATGGTCGAATATTGTGGATGATCCAAGAATCGACAAGAGTGATACTCCCTTGTACCCGAATTTGTCCGATTAATATTGGTGTAGAAGACACTATTTTGGTGACTGACCCCCCAAAACACTTTTTTGACAGGGTACATTGGTCGTTCGAAATGACCGCAATAAAATCACTATACTTCGTCCACTGAAAATACTAGTGACAATTCTTTCCATAGACGTTACCTTTTGAGAACATAAATCAGAGAAGGTTTAACACTCGAACTACCGACGATAAACGCATATCTATTTCGATCGGTCGATAAACAAGATAAACTTTTGAAAGTTTACAAATTTATAAATTGATTAATCTCTTCACTTTCATATCGTAATAAAAGTTGCAAAAGCTCGAGTGTATCTCAAGTCTACGATAGCCAAAAGTTTCCCAACGTGAACGTACCTCTCGAATTGTCTCGAGTCTTCGATCACATTTTCACTCTAAAATCGTCTATTTTCATTTGCCCCCGTGAGCCAGAATCGTCACTTCAGCGCGATCAGCGGTAGCCCGCGTTAGTTGAACCCTATTTTCTCCTGTAAAAATAAACTTTCGCGCTCTTGTGTGTCGTTCTCAGTTCTGCGAGCTACGGTTTCTTTTGTTCCATGACGGGAAACGACAGGTGAGGGAGGTAGGCGGTGTTACCGGCTAGTTAATCGGTCCCGTTAGCGCGGCGTGGCCGGCACGACGACGGCGTATGCATGTATGCCTTTCGATTCGTTCGATCGTCCGATCGAAGACGCGAAATCGGCGAGTCTTGACGGTTGCCCGCGCATCGTGGATCGGCCCGTTCACTTCGGCACGCGGTAGTAACGGAGCACCAGGTAGCCGAGGGTGCGGAATATCACCAGGAACGCGAGCAGAACGGCGGTGTTCGCCCATAGCGGAAGACCCGAACCCTTGCCGCCCTGACTCTCCAAAATGGCCGACACCGGGATCGTGGTGGCGTTCCGACATTCCGAGAACTTGCTTGGCTGCGAGCATCTGTGTGTCATCGACAAAAGAACACGGTTAGAAAGGATTGTTTACCGCTCGATGCACGGCAAAATTCACATTTTTATCACAGACGAGGTATAGGAGTAGACATTTTACAAGGCAAGCACATAGCTTTTTAAAAAAAAAAAAAATACAAATAAATTACAAATTGGAAGCGCCATATATTCTGTCATGGCTATTCACTTTTTTGGACCATATTCCCAACCGTTCCCTGATTCACGCGGTTAAACGGATCAAGTTCGGCTAACCCGATTAACGCTTGGTCGCGAATGATCACTGGGGACGATGTCGCTGCTGCGAGAGCCTCGTGAATCTCGCGATCCCCGGACCCCAGCGATTCGAGGGTTGAATAATGAAACGGCGGCGCCGCCATCGCGGTTTAAGTTCATCTACTATTTAAACGGGACGTATTGGTCCGACCGTAATTAGCGACGAGGACCGTTTATGCGGATTTCCGGCGCGGTCTACGTTCGATTATCGCGATCGATCGCAGGTACATGAATCTCTTACACCGAAGAAATTATGGCTTCATCGCAGTTAAATTGGTATTTACAACGATCAGTTTATTTTACCCGATGCGGGGATCCGATTCCAGGGAGACCCCTAGAATCACCGTTTTCAAAGAGGTACAACTATTTTGGGACACCCGGTATATTCGTTTTCTGCGCGGGTCAGGCGTGTCGCACGAAAGAGGTAATTGCCGTCGAGTCGCGGTTTAATATACGTACGTGATCGGCTCGCCGACGCCGAATTCCAGGATCTGCATGTTCTGATAGGCGTAGTGCACCATGCTCGCGTATCTGGCCCACGCGAGCCACGGTGGGACAGCGGTGGCCAAATAACCGCCCAGTAGCTGCGTGGCGAGCGTATACAGCGCTGACGCGGTTATGCTCACCTGGAGGTCCAGGCAGCACGCGCCGACGAAGAATCCCACGCTCTGTAAAACAACGAAATAATCTGTTCTGAGTTGTGATTCATTGGACGTTAATTATAACATCACTTCTTAAATTTTCTCCCATTAGTGGTCGAACACCCTGTATACAGGAACTTTGTTTTTTTCTTTTCACCAAATAAGAGGTGACCAGACGAAGTTAGTAGAAACGGTTCACGCTGTTTACCAAACACGATTGGTCGGCGACACCGTTCGCGCGGCGTTGTCTTGTGAAACACGCGAGAGTTACTTATTTCCGTGAACAGGTAGGTGGTTTTGAAAGTAAATCGCGACCGCCTTTCATGCTACAATGACTTAGTGTCCGCCGTGGGTGGACACTGTCGAGGGCTGAAAACGGAAGACAGAGTGAGACCGAAGAGATAGGAAAACCGCGAAATTCTTGGCGACGGAAAAACATTTCGCCGGGGATTGCGTCAGTGGCGACCGTGTTACTGGGACAGCAATATCAGCCGTGGGTAACCACATCGGTGACAGGTCTACGTAAAATGTTGTTAACATTCATCTATTCGGACCCTATTCACCGACGATTCGCGCAATGTTCTTTCTGTGGTCTTTGAAACTCTTTATGCAATACTGAATCTTCTCGTTCGGTTCGAATATTTAGCCTTCTTTTCGATAAAATTCTCGTTTTACATAGTTACCGAACGATTTTTCGACCACGATCACCCACGCGGACCAGGTTAGAGGCGAGTAATAACGACTTCAAACGATTTATCACGTGGCAATCGCAATCACCACGTAATTTACACTACAGGCTGTTATAATGACACGATTATTGTGCAAGAACATTTAGGTAAATAGAACTATTAAATGAACCTCTAATATAAAGTCTCTTCAACGGTAGTATATGTGTCAAATTTAGAATATTACGTATGTAATGACTGTCTGCCAACTCAATGTTGAATTCTACAACAGAAAGAGATGAAAACCGGTAACAGAAAAGTTTCATTTCATCGGTCAAACGTCTCAAGCGATGTCAAACTCTTTCTCTTGGCGGCCATCTTGGATTCGGCGCGATATCGATGGTCCGCTGCCAACCGTTCGAATCGAAATTAGATAATTATACCATTATTCTCGTATCTGAAATTCACGATAGCACGATAATAAATAGTGCACGCCGCATGTCGAGCAACGTTGCAGTACGAACGAATCCCTCCAACGACGGATGTGTTCGTCGCTTCGAATCTTCCGAACCAACACGTGGCGGAGTAATACAACCGAACGAGTCGATCGAACGTGTACGTTTCGAATTCATCTTTTCAGTAGCTTTCACGTTTTTCCTGTTACGCAATCGCGTGTGTCAATGATCATCGTTCCACGGCGTCAATGTTCCGCGCGGATCCGGGACAGCAATTATTCGCGCGGAACCGACCGCACGCGCAATCTTTACGACTTCCTTTCGTAATAAAATTAAGCAAAACCGTTTCTAGTCGGTGAAACGCAGCCGTGCCGCCGCGAATAATAGCTCTCTGACGTCTTTGTTTTGGATAAAACGAATCCGCGAGGCGTTTGCTGCTCCTCGGTGGTTTACGACGCGTGTTAATCAACCAGTCCTCCCTTTCGACGCAATCGCGCTTGCATGTCCGGTTGCTTGTCGTTGCTTTCGACCTGGCGTGAAAGTTTTTTTTTTTCTCAGGTAAATACCGTTTCTACTGCATTTCGCAATTTACGAATACAATTTGGTGGATTTGTCCTGTTGATTCTGGGGCTTAATTTCTGTAATACTGTTTAATAACATAATATTGTTCTTTTTTTTGCATGAAGCCGAGTCTCTGTTTAGTTTTTGGTTACTCTGTTTGGATTGGTTCCAATAACGTTGTTGCCCGTGTCGCAGTCATCGAGGAATAATTGTTGTTCGCGGTGGACGTATCATTGACGTTACTCTAATCGTTGTCACGGTTATTAATGATTAGAGAAACGACACTTACCTGCGCGACAACAGTGTTGAGTAAGAGGAACGCCAGCAGAGTGACGAAAACAGCCGGACTGTGGAAGCCCAACATCGGGTAACTAATGATATGGTAGACCGCGGGCAGAGTGATCGTAAGCGGTAGCTCGCCGACCATTTTCGCCAGGTAATAGGCCGAGAGCCGATACGACCCCGACAGCCGCTCCTTGTTGATAACCTCGCGTTCTGGAGGAACTGTAACACAGGAACGCAAAATGTATTTATTTAAGAACGCCCAATCATAAGGAATCACGTGATCCAATATGGAGGGGTCCCATAGACTTTCTCTACGGTGGTTCCCTCTTAACTCTTTAAGTGGTTTATTTCATTTTGAAAAGGTGCACTTGTGAGCTTAATTACTTTTAAGCTATGACAAGTATATTCGACAAAAACACAGTAAATGTATTTGCTGTAAAAGTTTTTACTTCGTTATCACTAGCTATCATTAGTTTTTAATTCGTTATCACTAGTTATTACTAGTGATAACGAGGTGAAAACTAGTGATACCGAAATAAGATCTAGTGACGGTTTTCGATCTGTCTTTATCGCACACATAGAGCGATTCACCCTGTATTTCTTACTAAAAGCGTACAGATGCTTCGAAACCCTCGATCGCAACCGAAATAAAATCCAGAATATCGAGAGACTTGTAGGTATCCAGAAACGGGGGATGGAGGCGAGCAAAAAGTGTCGAGAGGTGGACACTAAACTCGATTTTACGGCTGGTCCGTTCGTTTCGAGCCCGGGGTCGTCCCGCCGCGACGTTCTTCTCGGTTTCTACGTGTGGATAAGTGACACGACGACCGTAAAACGGTCCCGTGTTCGTCGATGGTAGCCGCCACGGTGCGGCTAGGTCGGCCTCGAGACGAACTTCTATGCCTAAGTTATGCGACGCCTAAAATAGTCGGGGAACGGCCATTAACTTTTCCGTTTTATCGTTTACTGCCCTTTGTTCGAGGCGATCTGTCACCTCTATCCGGGGGCCCGGCTCGGTTATCTACCCTCGGTTCGTTCGTTTACGGATTCATATCGCACTCTGTTTTTATTTTTTATTATCATTCTTCGTTTTATAGCATCGAATATTTTTCCCTACTAGAATCGTCTGTGTTCCTGTCGAATTGTACGAGGAAATTAATCGAAGACGATTTTGTTTCTTCGAAGACTGGATATTTTGACAAACAGATGTGGATCTTCAGGAAAATTTCCTGTCGACGAGAACAGCGTAAAAAGGAAGGGGTTAGGAGTCCCCGCTCTCTATTGGGTATCGTTCGAGCGTGATTTTACAGTCTGATTCCCCGTCTGAAATCCGTCACGCTCGTTTCGCACGGCGTCGGTCGACAAAAGGGCCCCTGCCGTCAATTACCACCCGGTCGCTCGTACACGCCAGTGGGTCACGGCGCGACCTACATACTAACATTCTTGATTGACCGTTCTCTTTTGGGTCCTTTGCAAATCTTTGCAATAAAAAAAAACGGGCATCGCCTGAATGGCCGATTGAGCACGTCACGTCGTTTGTGGCTCAATTAACCAATCAACTTCATCTGCTTCTCTCTGCGTTGCGCAATGCCGCGCACACCCCCACCCCTACTCCCACCGGGCAGCCACCTGACAATGAGAATATCTTCGCGCGGTGCTTTTCCGTCCAGTGCACCTTAGACGGTCTCTTTCTTTTCTTGGATGGTATTCTTCTGGGGAGGTACATGCATTCTATACCTTAATACAATTAATTCGAACCGTGTCAACTGGAACCGTAACAATTCGAACCATATTAATTCGATCCGTATCATTTTGAACCGTCCTAATTTGAACCTTGTCAATTGGAATCGTCTGAATTCGAACCGAGTCAATTCGAACAGTATCAATTCGAGCAGTGTCGATTCGAACAGTGTCAATTCGAACGGTATTAATGAATGATGAGAAATGGTACTTACAACTGGAGAGTGCGCCGAAGTGCGCGAACAGCATCCAGTACGTGGTGCTGAAGAACATCCAACCCTGGATGTCGTGGAGAGCCGCCTCGGTTCTGGGAAGCCTCAACCAAAGCAGCCCGGCTAGCAGACCGAGGGCTATCGTTTGTAACCAATTCAGACGGGACAGCATCCGTGGCCGGGCTTCTTGAAAGTTTCGTTCTGATAATACCTGGAAATTCACGAGACAAGATTCTACAGTTTCTGATATATTTTCGATGGAAAGAAATAGAAATCGATTTAAAACAACGGCGGATCTTACGTTTCTCAAAAGAGAGAAAAATAGATCGAGAGATCGAACGGAGCATTTACGGGAAGTACGAAATGGAATTGAATTTTGAAATTTTATTAGAATCTTGTAAATGGAGAGCGTTCTCTGTTCAAGAATCCGCAGGATCTTAATTAGATCTGTTAATTAATTTTTTTCTTCTGTTAATAATGATTCCTTCGATTTGGAAATCATTATTACATAAATTGTAAATAATAATTAACGATAATAGAATCGTTTGGCGATCGGTTCCAGGTATCAAGTTATTATGAACGTTCTGGGTTAGGTCGATACGATTACTAGCTGCGAAAGTATTAAGATTCACGGGGCTGGTCGCTCGATTAATTAATCTCGTTAAGGTTCTATATTAAGAGGAGCTGAATTCGTAGCGATACACGAGCGCGTCGCTAATTACACGCGCTCATAATGATAGAAATGCTGTCCCCCGTGCAGCGACAATGTCACAATTGCAAGGTTGCCCGCTACACCTCTTTGGTGCAGCTCAATTATACATCGTCGGCCGTGAGGAAATAGAACGCAAAGTTTCACAATGCCGGCTTTCGAAGGCCTCTTCAAATTACAACTAAATATATACGCATACGCCATTTAACCGTGAACCAATGGAAACTTGAGAATTGTTAATTACTCAATCAACGGGGCACGTTCCGATATGGTTCCACCGATTTACGAGTGATATTGACCGCCTCTCAAAACTCCCAATTCCAAAAACTCGATGCATATAAACAGTCTTTGAATATAAAAACGATCTCTCAGATCAGCGAAAAAATTGTTAATTCAATTTACGTTATCCAACAGTCCATTTGTTTAAATTTAATATTCTCAAATTACCTCGAGACAAAGTGTAACGAAAATGCTTAGTATGGACATCTTGGATTTTACCGTCTCCAAACCCGCGAACGATAATTCTAAATTCATAACTGAACACAATCCATAACAAACTATAGTTCCGTCGTATCCAAAATAAAAATAAACGAAAAAATATCGTTTCTACTCGAAGTTAAGTCACGAGTCGAACTGTTTTTCCGGCGATCGCCACCGTCGCCATCTTGGATTCCCATAATTCACCGCGGCGCGGGGAGGAGGTCGTCAAAAGTGTGGACGATTTTTTCAAAGAAACGTCCGATAGATTTACACGGTTTACCAGGTGTCGAAGATAGAAAATTGCTCCAGCAACGTGAGAGAGGGTCAGAGGATCGTGACAGAAACGCGAACTAGGTCGCGTTTACGCGATTCACCATATCCGGATAATTACTGCGACACCGGTATATACGCCTATCCGTGATGATGTAGGTTTTTTGTACGAAACGTGGTTCGACAGAAGTTCCATCACTTTTCCTCGATTGAACCAATTTTTCATTGGTTCAGGCTCGATCAACGCGGAAAGCGTTTTCACCGTTTTCCATACTTAAATCGTGACTCATTGAAGATCCGTGACGCTCACGTGGAATCGTTCACGTACTCGAATCTCTCTTTTCACTCGAAGACTTCACGCGGGAACCGATTAAGGTGTGTATCCATTTGTAATGCTATAATCTTAAGGTGCCAGTACATAATTGCGACATCTAATCTGCATCGTACGTAAATACTATACGTTAAAACTTCTAGAATGTTATGGATATATAATCAAATTAAGGTATTAAAAAGTAGTTAAACCATACGATATTTATGCAAGTGCCAAAACATAGTAGGATTTAATCGACAGATCTTACAGTACGATAAGCTCGAGTCGAGAAAAAGTGGATTTATATTATTCGCAAGATTGTAAACGTTACTGTACCGCAAAATTGAATGTAATTGTTTCCGTACGATTTTAGGGAAGCATGGAAATTTCATTTTACGCACGTTCTTTAATTCAATCCGTTTAATCTTTTACGGAGTCGAGATTGTACTCGGGTTTCGCTGGACGAAATTGCCTGATGAAATTTTCAAACGCCCGGGAAATTGCGGAGTGCCCGAGTGTGCTGTCGCGGGACGTTACGGAAATTACGTTGTTATTACGAACTGCGTCATGAAACAGAGAGCTGTAACACCTCAGACGGAACGAAATGCCGGTCCGCTGCCGCCTTGAAAGTTATCTGGAATGCATTACCGTCTCAGATAAACCGTTGGGTACTAATACGAATTTAATGCGAGCATTAAACTTGAATCCTTATGTCATTTCCATTTCCCTTCGGTATTATCTCCCCCACGTACCAGACCATTCATCTAAATTTTCATATTACTGTTCCATGCTCTATTAATCTTGCACGCAATCGAACTTTTCGATCTCGCCTTCGGCCGACTTCCAATGCTCCTTGACTGCGGCCACTGTCGCCACGGAAATACAAAATGGCAGTTGAAAGAAACTGTTACTTCGTACAAGTTTCTCGATCTGAATTTGTAAATATAAATCTGTTTATTCTATTCAATCTCTTCGACATAGAAGGTTCTATATATTTCAAACAGTCTCTATTTGTGGTTCGATTAAGAAAATATGTCGAGATCACGTTTCTTTCTCGGTACGGGAAGTGAAATCGGAATTGTTTATCGAGAACCGAAGTCAATGCTGTTTTCAATTGGTCGGGCTTGACGTCACTTGCTCTCGCGAGCTAACGGAATCGAGAGAGTCCGGTTCATTTCGTTCTTCGATGATGTACATTACTCTCTGAATCTTTTGAAACCGCCAGCCATACCTTCCCCCTTGTATTTTTCCAATTGATCACGGTGTGCTTGGAGAGCAGACAGACGCGGGAAAGAAACCCCAATATCTTACGATACCGTATAAACTCGGTCCGCGTGTTTATTAAACAAATATTATTAGAACGTTCGTCATACTAGAGCGGTAGATTACCCCTCGAGCCAGCGCAAGAAGATTTATATTCTAAAAGCTCTTCCCTCGAGGAACGTTTATATAGATCGTCGAGCTACCGAGTAAAGTGTAATCCTAGCTAGACATTTATCTGCTGGTATCCTTAGAATTATTAAATGGAAAAAGTTAAATAATTGTGTCTGTCTTGAAGTGGGATTTCTTTCGTTGACTTTTGGTATCACGGAAGATAACACGGTTTCTTTAAAAGGATTTCAAGTGTTATAAAAGTGGACTTTTTGCTTAGAGGATCGTTTATGTTACTATCTAAGTTACTCAGCAACTGAATATAAAATGGTGACAGGTTGCACACAAAAATACTTCGATCTGAATTTCAAAAACCTTTTGGTAATCGTGTTCATTTCGCAAAATCCTTTCCAAATCCTCCAGAATACAATCTTATACCTTTGTCTCCCCGTAAAACTCTGTTCAACTCTGTTCTCGCCAGCAATAGTGTCATTGATTACCGTGAATAATCATACTACTCACTTTGAATTGCGACCAGAAACTGGTGGGCCACTGCCAGGCGTACTCTTCGTCCGCGGAGCTGGCGCTGCTACTAGTGTGGCTCTGCGTGTCCAGCCACAGGGTGCGACCTTCGTCCTCTTTTACTGAAAATTATCGACAAAAATGACTTCTTCCACATGTCATTTGGAATGATGAACGATCCACAATCACACCTATCCTTATTTTGTACAGTCAATATTCAATGTATTTATTTTTATTTCTAACTAATTCATTTTTTTTTTTCTTAATTACCACTTTCTTTTTGTATTCATTGTTTCTTTTTGTACCAAAAGGTATTTCCTGTTATATAAATTGAATTCCATTATTCACGTCATAATTTTCAGCTAGCTCTCGGTTTCCACGTTATTTTTCCCTATTCTGATTCCTCGTTTACTCAGGTCTGCAGAGGTGTGCGTAGGGGAGGGGAGGAAGGAGTTTAAATAGATTTCAATCATTGATACCATTGTGGCTGATGTGGTGCTCGTGATAATGGATGAGATGGTCGCATAGCGGATGCTGGCTGGGATTATATTCCGGGCGTAGTTCCGGTGGGCAGTCGGATCCCTGTCGGACGTTCCTCGCCGCTGCAACGATCCGATCCCGTACCTCCTCTGGCCCCTTTATTTGCTCCACTGTGACAAACAATAAACGTTGGAACGACCGTAAAACCGTTTCGTTGCGTGCTACCGGCTCTGAGAAATGGTCCTTTTAATCAACGTTTCACACCCTCGTTAAGAATTATCGTCGCGCACGATTCTGGATGACACACATACACAGGAATATTTCGACGTGACCGTGTTTCGAGCGCGTTTTAGTGGCTTTTCGGCCGAGGGCGAGCCGAAGTGTGGTGGTCCGTTTCGATGATACCGTTATTGGCCGAAAAAAGAGCGCTTCAATTCGACGAATTCGGGCCGCGAGGACCTAACCGACGACAACGCTTCTGTGGCGTATTTTACAGGTCAGTCCGAGTGGAGAAGGACGTTCTTGAGCGCAGAAGGTCGTTCTGAGTGGAGAAGAACTGGTTGGTTGAAATTCAAGAAATAGAAATGCAGTAAGTCCCCGATTAACGCTCGAAGTTTGGGAGAACTCTTTGAGGTAGTTGTCGCAGAGGGACACGATTTCCGTATTTTATGAATTGTGTGTCATTTCGTGAATTGCATTTTGGGCCCAGTCTCCGGTGTTAAAAACCCCAGTAGTGGGGATGAAGCAGAAGCATTTAGCCTAGAGATCTCTCCGAGCAGTTATCGAGACTTCGCTGTATTATGATTTATCGAACAGGGCGCAAGGGGTTAATTAAATGGACATTAAGAAAATGGGAATAGCGATCGTATCACTCACGTATGAAGTCAGCCGGGTTGTAATGCGGCACCAGCGTCAGTCCTATCGTGGAGAAGAACCTTCCGATATTCGTGGTCGGCCCGTAATACGCCACCTGGCCTCGGCTCAACAGAAGAAGCTTGCTGAAACTGTGGAACATCCTCGAACTGGGCTGATGCACCGTCAACACGATGCTCTTGCCCTCTTGCTCCGCGTATTTCTTCAGTCGTGAAATCAGAGACTGCGCTGAGTGCGAGTCCAGCCCGCTGGTTGGTTCCTGGGGGGACGACGACAGTGCACACAGATTAATCTCATTTCTCCAACTCCATTACCGAAGGAATAACCCGACATCCGGTGACAATGGCGGGTCACCCTTCGAGAAATTTCAAATATGACCCTTGGGGGTCTTCGAACGTTTCCGTTATCTTCTATTTTTGTTTGTTTGTCTAATTCTTTTTGTGTTACATTTTTTTGTAAATCGAAGCAAACGAGAGAATTCTTTAACATCAAATTCAGATAAGAAATTTATATTCGTAACTAGAGATATTACGTATTTATACAGAAGAACGCGAAGACACAGTGAAAGGCGAAATGTCTTATTTTATATTTAACCCGTTCGAATCCCCAGCAGAGAAAGGAATTATCGACTTTTCACTTCTCTGTCTTTAGAAAATTACTTCGTGAAATGTCGTTTCGAGTAAGAAACTTCGGTGGAACTTCTGTTAATATTTCTACGTTAATTTAAAACTCGTGGGGAATAGCTCGTAATTTTAATCCCAAATGAGGAAGCATTCTTCGTTGATGCCCCGATGAAATATCTACCCCGAACAACCAAGAAAATCTTTCTCTCGTTTCATCTTCGCGGATGAAACCGTCGATGCTTTTTGCCAAGAACTTTCGGCTAATATTTCTATTGTTGTCCCGGTGGATATATTTGGAAACGTTTTCAGTGGTCTGACAGGAAACTTTCGACAAAAAGGGAACGCTCCGAGGCGAACGGTAATCCGGAAGTGGGCAGACGATCAAAGAGACTTACGTCGAGCAGCATCAGCGACGGATTGGTGAGCAGCTCGCAGGCTATGCTCGTCCTCTTCTTCTCGCCGCCCGAGAGCCCTCGTTTCGTGTAGTCCCCGATAACTGCAAACAAAACATACACACCGTTGCGGACCAGGTACCAATGAGACGAGCAAACGCCCCCGTTATCGCGTGTTCCCAATTAATTAAAAGCGATTGCCGTGCCCGTAACCACGGAGAGCATCGAAAACGATCCGACGATAAATGTGCGCCAAGGAATCGGGACGAGAGGAGAATTTAGTAGGAAAGAATTTTGAACAGTATTTTTTTGAGCAACTTTAGGACTCTGTTTCTCTATTTAAGTATGTTATTGGGTCAAGAATAAAATAGAAAAATCGTTGCATCTAGAGAGATTGTCTTGGAGTCTCCTAGGGAATTCAAAATGGCGGTCAATGCGTCGCCATGTTTTTTTTTTGGTTCCTCACATCGAAGATTCTTTAACGAAATTTCACTTATTGTAAAAGTATAATAAGAAAAATTCTGTTGATAAATTTTCATTAGTGAGGCAGAAATGAGCTCCGAAGAAAAACATTTCTTAAAGTCGACTGCATCGAATCACTCGACGAAAGTGTCAGGTACACTTGCTCCTGCATCAAGATCACTTACTCTAAAAAGAACTGAGGAAATTGGAATGGATATTTACGGGTTCGTCGGAGACCAGGTTTACGGCGAAAGGTGAATGAGTTACGATCGCGGAAATCGTCAATTGGAATGGCGGCTTCGCAGACCGGCGCGACTGAAACGCCAGGACACGATCGTTTCTTACACGGCGTTGATCGTAAATCGTTACGGGGTTTTCGGTTCGCGTCCATAAACAAATTACGACGGCGAATTTACGCGAGCACGTCCCCGTAACGAAGAAAGTGGGACAATTCTGTGTACCGATCGCGATCGCGGGGAGGACTCTGATCTCCGAGAAACGGAAATAGACGATCGTAACGAGACTACCCACGATCAAAATTCAATTCCAGGCGTGTCGACGGCAGTAAAAGTTAACGTTTAATGGACCACACTGTGTACAATCCATTCATTCTGTGAAACGTAAAGCAACTGAAAAGATAAAACACAATTTATACTTGATTCCTTGCAATTCAAAGTATGATTATGAATGTCTTTTGGCTTATGATCGGTGAATTTACACAGATTGTCAGAGTTTGGCAAAATATAATCTAATTACAAATCTAAATAACAATGACATTGTAATTATACAATTAAATTCTAATTGTAATTGTCTTGCAATTATATTGTAATTATAATTAGATTACATTTTGCCCAAAGCTGCACAAACTAATGTGCAATGAAAAAAAAAGTATTAATATTCATCGTGAAAAATTCATTTTCATACTAGTTTTAGTATCAGTTGTGCTGCGATACGTTATCTATTTAATTGTATTATAAAGAGTGAATACCTGTAAATTGAATTAAATTAAATAAAAAATTAAATTCCTCCCTTTATCAGTTTCTTCCTTTCCCCGAAAACCGAATAGAAACAATTTATGCATTTCGTTTCACGTGAGTCTGCCCTCCACGCGCAAGTCACTCGATCCGCCCAGAAACGTCGAAGCCAAGTAGCTTGTACATATTCCCAAACGTTCGTTCGTCCTCGTTCAAAGAAGGAGGAAAGGGGAAAAGAAGCCAAAACGAAGTAAAACATGGCCGCCCGTAAAAGCAGGCCGCGCCGTGTCGGGGAAATCGTGCTCGCTGCCGCGCGCGCCCGCGATCCATCGATCCGTCCGGAATATCCTCCACCTCTACTCACTGGTGTCTTGGCAGCCGGCGAGGTCGAGGACCTCGATGATATGATCCACGCACTGCATCTTCTGGGATTGCGAGAACGAGTCCGGAAGCCTGAGTCTCGCCTGGTACTGAAACCGAAAGAAACGAAAAAAATATTAGAACAAACATTAGAGATAGGGAAAATGCGATCGTGGCGCGATTCGATGTTGTATCGATTCGATATTCCGTCGATTCGTTACTCTGTCGATTCAATATTCCGTCGATTCGATACTCTGTCAATTCGATAGGTACTTTGTCGATTCGATATTCCGTCAATTCAATATTCGATCGATTCGATATTCCGTCGATTCAATATTCTGTCGATTCGATATTCCGTCAATTCGACGTTCTATCAATTCGACAAGTTGATATTCCGTCAACTGGATATTCCCTCGATTTGATATTGGGTCAAGTCGATACTCTGTCGATTCGATCGTGGCGAAACGGGAGAACCGTCGAAACACGGGCTTTTTCGGTACAGATCGGTATCGTTCGGTGGTTCAAGCCGCCATTAAACCCGCCCCGGCCCCGTTTACGTATTAAACAGTAATGTAAGCAAAAGCCGCCGGCGTGGACGTGCATTTCCGTTTCGTAACATCCAGGCCACTTTGTGTCTATTATTACCCATCTGACACGTATCCCCGGGGATGCATCGGTCCGACTCGTAATCGCGATCGTTAAATCAATTACGATAACGCGCCGCCGCCGCCGCAGACGCCATATTGCACGATTATACACCGTTCCTTCACGAGCCAGGAGCCGTTTTTGGATACCAATGGTTAAAAGAGAGAGAAAGATCGTTCTGACCGCCTTTCCAGAACCGATTTCTTTACGCACGATCGGTTGGAAACGATTCGACACGGGATGATTCGGTAATTCTTTATTCGACCGCGATCTCATATGACTTCCGATTACACTTCCGTATATCGACGCATTTCAGAATACGATTCGAGGGAATTGGTTCGTTCTAATTATACGGAGCGTTACGAAACTCTTTCTTTTTCGTTTAATTTTGTGACCGGTCTAGAAGATTAATCGTATATTAAAACTTCTGCATGTTTTTCGATTATTTTTTGTACTGAAATTATGTAGGTGATACAAATTTTATGTGGAAACTCTAATTAATAATAAAAAAAATTCTTAAGAAAAAGATAGACCAGAATTCCAATTGGCATGGTAAAAATCAAGTCGAGACAATCGATAATTACCGGTCAAGCAGAAACTTTCAAGTTGAGTTTCCCTCGAAAGCGAAGAACCATCCCCAATGGGAAAGACCACTTTTCAGTTTGTTTCTCAATGCGGAATCACCTCGCGACAGGGACACACATACACACCACTCTGTACACATTCTTTCGAGATGATAGCCATTCGACTGCATTGCAGTGTGGCCTCTCTTTCTCCGTCGTCGTTTCCCGTCGAGCCGGGAGACAAAGCCCGCGACAGAATTCTAAAGAGCCGCCCGAGGCGGGCCGTGTTTTCCTTCGATTCCACCTCGTCCCACCGAATTATCGAGTGCGCGCGAACACGTTCCGTGCCGTCGCGGCGTCGACGAGGAAAGTCCGTGCACTACGTGCAGAATCGCGCGCGGCCGATGGTGGCACGAAACGACAAAGGCGTGGCTCTCCAGTTGCACTGGCGATTTCGAGTTGGTATCCTCTTTCTGGGCTCGAGAATTTCTGCGTTCACGAACACGTTTTCCCAGCGATCCTCTGGCATCTAGTGGTCATTTTCGTGCGTATTATCTGGCCCACCGTGTACATTAACCCCTTGCCATATGATTTTCTTGACGTCTGCAGTCTCCCCAATTACATTGCTATCGATAGTTTCCCAGGAACGAAAGGAATTCTGCACTTATCGCAACTGTACTTTTACTGTGAAAGTTAAATATTAATACCAGCAACGTGGTACTTCACTTCGACTCAAAGAAAACCGAATAATATTCTTCTTTGTTGAATCAATTTTCATATCGTCAACACGAGTTTGACTCGATGTTATAAGGCAAGTGGTTAAGGGTGAAAATAACATTGGTTTTTTGGTAGTGAAGATTGAATCTATAGGAGTGACGATGGGGGAGATGGATGATTAGGATTCAGGAGCCTTGGGGTAGATGTTAGATGCAATTGATCTTTTGATGTAAAAAGGTACAATGATACTTTTTACATTGAAAAAATATTCGTTGTTCCTAGTGAGAATCGAATCTTGAGAAGTGATGAACAGTAGATGAACAGGGATACTGCTTAGGGGATGCCTGCTAAGTCTAGAGCTTTTGTCCTCCATATTATTCTTTTCTAGCTAAATATATTACAAATATACAACGTTCAGTTCTTCATCCAGTACTATTAGTTCCTTATGAATTGAATTAAATTAAATTGAATTAAATTATATACGAATGTGCACAGGGCTTTAAAGGATCGAAGAGCCTCGCATGGTCGACACACCCTGACCCGCTGCGATCAACAACGCGGATGGACCCGCCATTTTCTCGACAGTCGAGCCCGTTACACAAGAGGATCCGTTATGCGGAGAGAGAAAGTGGTGGCCGATGATATTTCGCCGCGGTGTGCAAAGCGGTCATCTCGCGGCCACGAGGAAACTGGACTACTACGGACGAAACGTATTTGTACGGAACTCGTTGTAGCTACATTCATCTTCTCCTGCCTTGGTGACGATGGTTACAGATCGCCCCGATCGAATATCGATTTTTAAAGATTCTTTTCGGAAATTTCTTTACCGCGTCGATGGTTCGAACCAGGTCCCACGTAAAATTATATTTTATAACCTCTTGCCTTATAACATCGAGTCAGACACGTGATGACAATTTCAAAGTGGATTTAATAAACATGCATATTTAGACATTTTCTTTGTGTCGAAGTGAAATTCTGTTTCATTGGTATTAATATTTCAGATTTAGAGTAAATGTTACAGTTGCCCTAAAGATAAAATTCCGTTTGTATCTGGGAAATTATTAACGATAAAGTAATGCTTGAAAGTACAGTCTAGAAAATCGTAAGGGGTTTAAAAGAGAAGGAAGATTCTTGAATATTTTCGATTCCGTGGGTGTCAGAGAGCCGACGAGGTTTCAATTTCACGCTGAATGGAGCGTTCTCCCGCGATCCACGCATTTAAATCCTCGGAGGAGAGAGTAGGAGAACGCGTCGACGCGTCTCTCGACTTTGGCTTTCGGCCCGCATACCTCGCCCGCGCTATCCGCGTGGTTGTCCTCGTAATTTTCGGCCACTGGGCCCCTAATACATCCGCAGGCGATAAACTTGGCACGGTTGCCGGTCGATTTTCCTGGAAAACGAGGAAACACCTCGAGAAATAACCCCTTCAGGGTCCGTGCGTATATTTATTTATTTATTAACCTCAAATGATTTCTGGAGATCACTTCAATCGAAGGATATGACCACATATCTGAACGTAAAATTTTCTTTTCATTTCCGGTGCTAAAAAAGAGAGTTCCTATTTAAAAAAATCGAACTGACCTCAGAATAACCTCTAAATTTGACCTCTATATCATGATCAAGGTCACCAGCAGATGCTTCCTTTCAAACCCTAAAACTTTTGTATCAAATATTTTTTCCCAGAAACTTCATCCTTCGGAGTTAATCCGACTAAACTCATCTTTTTTTTGGTCCACCCTGTATACACTGCCTAGTTATGCGTCTGACCATGTTCGTCCGTTTCTACTTGCTGGGCAAGTCTACCCACGGTAAAACTTCATCATCAGCTTCTATCCGGTCGTTATTGGGTTTCGAACAAATCTTAATTACCCGCAAACGAGGATCTCGATTGGATTCTTCCATCGACGGAACACGAAGAAAATATTTTACCTCGGTCGGACGAATATTCGATAAACGAGACTGGGGATCTTTATCTGTCACAGCGTCTCGGGTAATGGTCGTAAACAGTCAGAATGGGACATCAGTTTTTCTACTTTTGTTTGTTTCTTCCCGTTTTCATTAACAGGTCTGGATCGCTGCTTATGCTAATTTGATGGGCCTCGCGACGAAAATGATCCTCGGCAAGGAGGGATCTCTTCGATGAAGCGATCGAACGGGATTTATCGGTCCATAGAATTCTATTGGCCGGAACGTTTCCGATTGTTCCTATCTGGTGTTTAATGTTATCGTGGTTTATGGATATTACATGATTCTTTTTGCGGGGGAAGAAGTTAGAAAAACTTTGTAGATAAAAGAGAGACTAATAAATATGACAGAATCTATCGAAATTTTTTTTAACTGCAATAATATTTTATTAGGTACTCTTATGTCTCGACTGTAAGCACCCACAAAGCTAATTTTAATCAGTTTGTTATTCAACAGATACGATTTATTGGAAAAACGTTGACACTATATTTCAAACAGTTGTAAAATCAACAAATTAAAAAATTTTCAAAAATCCTTCGAAGTACGTTCACATATCACTAAAGACTACAATGTATCAAAGTGTCAACAAAATCCGAAATGTTACTCCAAAAAATGTCCGATTTTGCGTGGAATGACCGTTAAGCATAAAATATACAACACATTGTTGACTAATTCCAGCTGGATTTAATACTAAAGGGTGTTTAACCCCTATATGAATAAGTAAATAAATAAATAATCGAGATGAATAAATGAGCTCACCTGGAGGGTCTGCCGCAACGTCAAATCGGGGAAGAAAACGTCCTGTTGTTGCACGTAACAGATTCTTCGTCGCCATCTTTTCGTCAGCCTTTCGCGATTCAGCCAGATTTCACCCCCGTCCACGCCCACGCGGCCTGACAAGCAGTTCAGCAACGTAGTTTTGCCACAACCTTCGCAGAAAAAAATCAAATACATAAACCGTGAACGATCGAATCATTTGAATCGAGTGAACAACAATCACTTGAATTTCGATTTCACATTAAACTCTTAGTACAACTTCTGGTGGATGTTCAACAACCCTCGAAGATTCAATTTTTGTTCACTCTTCGTTTTGGTAATCCAAAGATATATCAATTATTTAAATTACCGGTTTGTTGTAAATTTTAATTTTAGTATAACATAAACTAGAATCAATACGATCGACAATTTTTTACTTGTGACACTTTCCTCGCCGGGGTGATATATTTTTTGCATTCTTTAAACCAAAAAATGCCTAAATACAGACTCCTCTCGATTATTGTCCCAAACTCGGGTACGCGCCGGGACAATAATCGAATAGGAAGAAATGCTTCAGACCCTCGTAAATTAATTTTTTAAATTATTGAGAGGTAACACGCCCTCCCCCAGTGGTGGGGATAACGCCTGGACAATAATCGTGTAGAACAATCCAGAGAATAATCGAGAAGAGTCTGTATTACCTTCTTGAATTGTTAGCAAATTATTATTTGGCAGAATCGTAGCAAAGCAAGAAGCTCGTTGATCGTTAAAAAACCGCGAACTACAGGGCAGCTGGGGTGATAAATTTCAAGGTCTAAGTCAGAACGATGACGACACACAGAGCCGAATGTCTAGCGACTGATTCATCCCTGGTTCGGCTTGGAATAGGACATTTTATTCGTAGAAATCGTCGTTCCTTCGTCCAGCCACATGGGCTAAGAAGATATAGGAGGACAGCAGGGCTTCGTTCGCCGCGACGTTAACGACAAACCGTGAAAACAGAGGACAAAGACACGGATGATTTGTACACACTGTACTCGCAGGGATTGCTTGTTAAACTTGCGTATCAAACGGGGAGAAGAAGGATCCCGCGATAAATATCGTGTCCAGCGCAGGAACGACGGTGGCCGCTCGTTACGCGGTTAAAAATAGAAAACGGGGAGGAATTTTCCCGCCATGAACCGATCGATTTTATTTAACCACGAATCCATGTCTCGAGATCCGATTCGATTCGACTTAAGGCCCCTTTTCTACCATATAACGGTTGGAAGAGAAGGTGACACTTAGGAATTTTTCTTGAATGTTTAATAAATAAAGGCAGGAAAGATTTTTTTTTATAATCGAGAGGAGTCTGTGGATTCTTAATCTATGGTGGGGACACGTACCCGAGGGGCCCATGACGGCCAAAAGTTCGCCGGGCTTGACCACGCCCGAGACATCGCGTAGGAGGGCTCGTTTCTCCTTGACCACCTGCAACCCCCGGAAGATTAGCTGCACCGGACGAGAATCCAGCGGGTACACCAACTGCAACGCTGAGCTTTCCACTCTGCAACAGATGAACGAACGGAAACGCTGAATTGTGCCCGGTTCGGTCAATTTTTTTTTTATTTAAAGACGAGAAAAATCAGGGGAGTAGGATTCTTCGTGGTGAACATAAGAAAAATTAGTCGTTTCCCTTGACTCTTGAATGCCGAATCATTTTTACCCGTAGCGAATAACTTTTTATTTTGTAAATTATTTCATTCGATCATAATGAGAAGGGAATAACAGATGGATCAAAATGACGGCATTCGGTGTGGAAAGGTTGAAATGAATGAACACTAAAGAGATTTTGTAATTATTTAAGTCGAATTTTGAAAGTATAAAGATACTAATAAATATTGGGCACACGAAAATTAGATTTTTAAATATCTACACCTTTTTAGAACGTATGGATATCAATTTGAAATATTAGAAAAATGTGATTAATTAAATTAGAAAGATAGATATAGAGTTCACGAGTGAATGAACATTTCTAAGCAGTAAGAATGATTCCGATCCCGCGTTCCAGAAGCGACCAATCACCTTCATAATAACACAGTGACGTCCCATCGGAACAATTTCATGACGGTAATTAAGACGGGCATGTGTTACGGCCTCAATCATACCCGCGGACAGATGGAGTCCAGCTCGGTTTCAAATGAAATTTTTCCAAATGACCTGCTTCCTCCTCGCGAATAGGTACACAGGTTTGAAATTAAATGTTTCTTATCGATCATTAAAATGCCTAGGAAAAACCAGAAATTTTGCAATTATTCATTTTGAGAATATTTTCGAAGGCGATCGTGTACATTATTGTCTACAATTGAGCCATTGTCTCAATTTTAAACACTTGTCATAAAACAACTTCTAATCCTTCTAACTCCCCCCCCCCCCAAAAAAAACTCAAGTCACTCGGTCAAATTTCCCAAAGGTTGTTCCGTTCTGAAGGATGCCCGAATACTTTTTTTCTCCACCGTAGTGTTGCGTCCGCGAGTGCGATCAGAGACGAGGAAAACGGTTTCCGCAAGGCCGTTCGAAAGCTGCGGAACAACCCGTTCGGTTCGTCGATTAAGGCGATAGCCCACACCCGCGACAGGGGGGAACATCTTCACTCGCGCGAGCCCATATAAGCGGAATCAATCTTGCAACTTTCCAATGGGTAAGCACCTAACCGCCCGTAGGAGAGAATAGAAAACCCGTCGCTCGTAAGAGGGAAGTGAATCGTGCTTTGGCGACCGGACGACATCGAACTCGTTTCAGAAAACGATCGAGATCGATCGCTCGGCGGAGGGTACAGCGATCCGATCCGAGAACTGGTCGGATATCTGGTCCAGATTTGCTTTTTTTTTCCCCCAGCCTGACGATGACCTGGACTGGACTTGACACGGATTCAGTACGTCGAGTTATTACGTGTAACGATTTTTCTGAATTTTTTTACATTGTCAGGGGACGTACAGCGGGTACAAAAATGATTCGCACAGGTTCTAAAACCGAATAACTTTCTTAAAATTGGACCGAGTGATTTGAGTTTTTTTTGGTGAAGTTTGAAGAATCGACTTACCAAATGATTTGTCAAAATTAACCCCTTGCTTTATAATGTCGTGTCAGATCCGCGGTGACGATATCAAAATGGATTCAACAAACAGAAATATTAATCTTTTTTTTTTTAGTCAAAGTGAAATACTAGTTTGTGGATATTAATATTTAACATTTAGAGAAAACGTACAATTGCGATAAGTACACGAATTCTATTTGTATCTGCTATATAATCCAACCCAGAAATATTAAAATAATCATAGGTTGCAAATAAACGAACGTTTCTGCGAATTCATCGGATTTTTGTTCTAGCTGCAACACGAAACTCTCCAGAACGCATCGCGATCGGATGAATGTCCTCTCTGTTAAATAATCACGCGCGAAACACAACACGGTGATAGTGAAATGGCTGTCCACAGGTAATACGAGTGTTCGTTAGGAGTTCCTAGTAAATAATGACGCTCTATTTATTTCGCAGACGTGAATTTTTCAGATAACGTCCCGTCACTCACGACGTAAACAGACCACTCTGAGATCTGATCTGTCACTTCTGGGAACCTCGTGGTGGCACTTCTATTCGGTGAAAATAAACAAACTCTTCCCCTACTCGTGCACAGAATTCATAGGCCATTATCTTCGTCTCATCGCAATATCATCGAATGGTAATGGTAAATTAATTTGATAACCAGTTGTGTACAAGTTTCGAGCAAATTGCCAGCAAATAATGGCCAAATTTGTTTAAAAAAACCATGGCCATCTGTTTCCGTATTTGAATTGGGTTTCAATTCGGATTTTTTACACATCAGTGTCCAAAGTACAGAATGATTTCCATTGTAATGTACTCAGTCCCTTATCTATTCGTCATCCAGAGATATTTTTCAGCCTTTCGACTTTTCATTCCCAACCAAGCAAACATGCGTCACATTGAACCTTAACCACTACGTCATCCTTACTCATAGTCTACTGTGTCATCTTTCCTCGGTCTTGCCCTATCCCAACCACTATCACTATCCTTCCAGGAAACCTTTAAGAACCCCGAAGCACTACCACCGTAAGCAGAACCATTCCGAGACTTACTCTTACAAGCTCAGTCTCATGATAACTCAGTCCAGTCCAGATCCAACAACATTGTAATCAGGGACTTCTACCGAAACGTAAAATACCGGTATTCGGTTTCTATAAGAGGAAGGCTTATATACGGTTATATAGGACGAAGTTTCAACCATAAATACCGGTATTTTTTCGGTTTTCGGTAATACATCGGTTTCTGTGTTGAATAAAGATTTGTTAAAAGGGTAGTTTATTTTTCATCTGTCCATTAAACCATAAACCTCAAGCAGTCTAATTTAATAATGAAAGAGACCACCGTGCTGTCCATGTTATCGTAATTGGATCGTATCGTGTACTTATTATTGTCACTGAAAATGAGATGTTACATCGGAATCGAATTTCTGAAATCGGTCCTCTTCGTCTGGCTTTGAATAGCGAGGGGTCTGTATCATCCCCGGTCTATACGCGACCCGATCCTCCCTCAACGAAATCGGATAAGAATTGTGGAGCGTGGTTGGTTGCCACGCGATATACACACAAAAAGCGGGGGGGGGTCGTTGGACAACGGAGTGAGATAATGAATTCCAAACATGGCAGAGTGTCACACGTCAAGGAATTGTGGAGCGTGGTTGGTTGCCACGCGATATACACACAAAAAGCGGGGGGGTCGTTGGACAACGGAGTGAGATAATGAATTCCAAACATGGCAGAGTGTCACACGTCATCCACTAGGGTTCGTTGAACCCGACGTTGCACGAGAGACGAAGCAGAAGGCCGCTGCTTGGAAGAGGATTTTTCGACGAGGACGACGCCACGCACAGTGGTCCAGAATTTCTTTTATTTTCTAAAACACTTGCGTCAACTTATAACCATCGGATTATGAAAGGTTTGACGCATTATTGTTCTCTAAGTTTCAGTGGAGAATAGACAAAAGCACTTGCCCCCCTCCTGGACAGAAAAAGTGGCTTTTGTTCCACTCCACAAGAAAAAAATTGGATTCCCTCCCCCCTTCCCAGAGTTACAAAATTTTTCCATAATATTTAATATTGCAGTATAATTTTAAACACGAGCAAGAGCCTCTATTAACAAAACGCATACATTTTCAACGATTTATGACTTTAAAAACAAAGTAAACCGTGTCTGGCTACGTACGACCTTTTCCACTGTGGCAGTCGATGTGTTAATATTTTTGCCCCAAAGTATAATATTTTGATGAAATTTTCAACATGTATGTAACTAACATAAATCTTCGATATGTATCGGGAATTCTTGAAATGTATGCCAAATTAACATTCGATTTAACATTTATTTCAGTAACTTGAAATAAATTTACCAAGTGATAGGAGACCTTTCTCTTACGCCACTTTTTCCCCTAGTGGAAGCCGAATTTGCTCGTCGGTGTACAAAAGTGCTCCGTTTGGCATAGAATGACCCGGTATATCATTGTGTGCCCAGCCGTATACACGACTGGCCAATAAATCGTGCCCGCCGAGAGCCGATAACCGCCGTGTCCGCCGAGTGCAACAATGTCGTCGCCGTTAGATGATCGATTTATCGTCGGAGTTCATAAATATCCATGGCGACGTGTATGTATATGCAGATCTCGGGCGTGTGCATCGCGACTCGCGCGGAACGCACCGAGAGAAAACCGTCGCGAAACACGATCGATCGCGAGACCCGTATGAATAATTATGTTCGTAGAGCATGCCTCGGAGATGGGCACAATTTTATTCGAATAATACATAGAAATATTTATAATTATATTTTATAAAAGTATGATTGCTTTGGCAGCCCTGAATTTTTAGCGTCGAATTGATTTTATGTTAAAAGGTTTGGGAAATTTGGGGATTGTAGATGATCGATGTATATCGTAAAGTTTGAGTATATAAGGATAGTGGATGATCGATGGTGATTTTTATTACTTTGTCGATCGGTTTTGCTGACAGTGAATTTTACCATCGAACGAACTGAATATTATAGAATCTGGGGAACCAAAGATTGTGGACGATAAATTTTGAATTCGGTAGCTCGATTCAAAATGGACCATCGGAGGACATTGACCGACCTTCAATTGTTATTACACCGATCAGACGTCGAAAGATAGGCCAATTGGCGGTTTGAAATTCGGTCGATCTAGTTGTCCTCCCATAAGGAATGATCTATCGTTATAATTACTCTTGTTATCGTCAGGTTCTCCAAAGTGTCGTCACGGCTACCTATCAATTAAGGGATCATCGACCGCGGTATAAATCGAAAGTATGGTTATTTCGTTTCGATATAGGTCAACGTCCACGCAAGAAATTACATGAACTTACTGATTGACTCAAAATGGGCTATCGAGGACCTTGAAGATCAATCAAACGATTATTCGTTTCGAAAGGATGGTTCAATTGGAACATTGATTGAACTAGTTGTTCCTTTCGAGTGAAATGATTTGCA